AGTTGTATGAACCCCTAATAAAATGATTAAAAAAAAAAAAAGAACCAACAGATGGTCTGAAGAAGCCACCCCAGAAAGTCTGAAGAACCCTGATAAGACCAGAATGATGTCAAGGAGCCAGCTGAGCTGCCAATATAAACCCCGGTAGAGACACTGACCTTTCAGAGCGCTAGGAACCAAGGAGACATCAACTCCTGCTCTCTCCAACCCTACCCTGGGGGAGTACACCGATGAAGACAATGCTTGTTGGGACTATGATGCTCAAATTATAAAGTAGTGTGTGGCTCCTATACCTGATATTTGCTTGAAATATTATAGTTTGAGTTTAAACTAGGATTGTTAGATTGTTTGATGTGTGCTTGCAGTGAATAGACCGAGCATTTGAAAATGAAAAAAAAAGTGTTGCAATCTTGGAATCCCACAGGGATAGTTGTAGCCTGTTTTGGCATCGACTCAATGGCATTGAGGTTTTTTTGTTTGTTTGTTTCCTTGTTTGATATTTTATTGGAATTTTTTTCCCCGTGTGGTTTTAAAAAATCATTTTATTGGGGGGCTCTTACAAATCGTATAACAATCCATCATTCGTTTGTATTAAACACACTTGTACATATGTTACCATCAACAGTTCCAAAACATTTTCTTTCTACTTGAGCCCTTGGTATCAGCTCCTCTTTTTTTTCTTCCTTCTTCCCCCACTCTTCCACCCTTGTTAATCCTTCATCAATTATATATTACTGTTGTTTTTCATGTCTTTTTATTTTTCTGTTCATGTTGTATTGTATTCTTGAATCCATACACACATCAATTGCGTAAAGCGCATTTGTACATTCATTGCTTGAGGGTTTTTTTAAGGGCTCTAAGGAAAGAGCCCTGCTGGCGCTGGTGGCTAGACATTGCAAGCTGCAAGGTGGGTGGTTCAAACCCAACAACCGCCCAGCGGGAGACAAGGAGGTTGTCAGTTCCTGTAAAGATTTACAGTCCGGGAAACCTTATGGGCAGTTCGCCTCGGTCACGTGGCTTCACTGCGTGGAACTCGACACGTCTCTAAAATCGACGCAAACCTCCGGAGTTGTAAAGACTTGTTTAATTTCCAGAAGGGCTCGGTGACACCGACCTCTGTGTCTCCTGCGAGGGTCCGCGATGCGTTCGCGGCCGGGGTGGCCCCGGGGCAGCCCGCGGGGCCTGGGCCGAGCGCGGGG